GGCCAGTGTGGGAGCTGGGCCAGGGTGACAGGACAAGGAGGGGTGAAGGTGGGGCCCCGTGCAGCCCGGGCTCCGTGAGCGAGGCTGGGCGCAAGAGAAGCAGGGTGAGCAGGAGTGAAAGGTCACGAAAAGGCACTAACATTTTACAGGCGACACTCGAACACCAGCCCCAGTCAAAAATCTAGAGCTGACGCCCCCAAAACTTAACTCTGCAAGCCCACTGAGGACCAGAAGCCGCAGGGATGGCCGATGGAACCTTGGCCCGCTGTCCCCTCACAACAAAGTCAGCCAAGGACACACAGCACAACAATCACAAGAGAAAACGCACTGACAGCTCCGTCTGGGGTCTGCCCGACAAAGCCGCCACGAAGCAGGCCCGCGCAGTAGCAACCTGTTTGTTCAAGAGCTGACCATGCTTTCCGTCACCTGTGTCCCCTCGGGAAATGAGGTATGCCACGGGGTAGGACAAATATTGTCGGACAGCGCACAGGAAACACTGACGGAACGTGGGACCATGACATCAAGTACAACACTGTAACTCAACTAGGGTTTTGTTCACCCCCTAAATGCATCTGGAACTGAGCGTCTCCAAACCCATACCGCCCTGGGTGAGGGTGTGAGTCCCTCCACGAGACAAAGCCCTTTGCCAGTCGATGTGATGACTGTGTTTGGAGCTGACAGGACAGGACAAAGAACAATGGGAAACGAGTCCACATTGACGTCACCAAGCACTCCCCACCGCCGGCAAGGTGAGCATCCTGAGTCCGACGGATGACAAGGCCCTGGGAGCGGGAACGTGAGCTGGGCCCTCATGGTCTGAGGTGGGGCGGCTGGAGCCGGGCTTCTGGACGCTCATGTGGTGGGGCTGCCTCCAGGCCTCCACCCAGGGAGGGCCGCCACTCCGTGTTCGCCCAGCCCAAACACACCCGACGTGGCTGCACACATTGCCCAACGTCCCCAGAGGCCGGGGCAGGGCCTCAGAGGCCATCCCAGTGTGCCGGCCCTGAGCACAGGGCCCAGTGGGAAACCACAGTGACCGGCTATCACTATCACACGGACAAGAGTCTGCCAGCGCAAGGTGCATGGTTGCCCCGGGCTGCTCAGCAACCAAATCTTGGCCACGGCTGCTCCCCAGGGTCACCAGTGCCGGGTCAGACCACAGCCTCCAGCTCGGCTGGGAGCGGGCGGCAGGGGGGGCTGGGACACAGTGCCTGGGCCCAGGGCGCTCCATGAGTCTCCAAAGGAAACAGACGCAGCAGTGTACGTCCCTTCACATCTGCCTGAATCCTGCTGCACAGCAACCAGGAGCTTGAGGCCGAAAGCCTAGATCTTTCCACCCAATGCAGGACGGCCGCACCTGGCCACCTCGTGCCAGCGCCCCGTGCCCCGTCCTCAGAGCAGTCTGAGACTCCGCAGCCCAGGACTGCTCCCTGGTCCCTTCTACATCCCACCGACATTCCTTCCCGACAAGCCCCTTGGATTGCCAGCTCTGCCTGCTCCCCAGGGGACCCAACAGATTCACCTCCCTGTCCACGTGCCCCCAGCCAACGCTCAGGGTCAGCTGCTCCTGCTGTGTCCTCGCCGCCCTCTGCCTCTCCCTCCGTTCCAGAGAGCGGGGCAGGAGGTGGCGTCTACTGAACCCTTGCGGCAGGCTGGGAACCGTACCGGACCACATCCATACATGCACCTGAATGTTCCCGCCGGCCCGGGACGTGGGCGTCAGCACCCTGAGTTTGTAGATAAAGGCCCAGGCCGGCACTAATCTATATTGCAGAAAAATCTTTCAACTGTGTCTCACCAGAAACCCTGGCACTTGTATTTGCTACAGGGACCACGGTGCAACCTACACATCTTGTTGATTTCATGTACTTTGCCTGATTGCATTTCAAATTCCAATAATTTGACAAATTAGAGACAAATTGGAGACAAAATAGAGACAAATAAGGAGCCTGGGTCTCTGTAACACACATGGAGTGAACGTGGAAGGAGCTAGTGAGAGAAGGACGACTAGAGGGGACTTACTTACCTGGCTGGACACAGAAAGGTGCGTTTTCAGTCACTACTAACATGCATGGGACTCGAGGGCCCGTGCGGGACCCAGCAGGGTGGGGGAGGCCCTTGGTGCTCAGAAACGTGAGGATTAACAAAACGAAACGTTCTGGCTTCCACAGGGGCCCGAATGCAATTTGCAGCTAGAAAGTTCAGATTTTTTAAAATGCTGTCATTTACAATAAGATAAAAAACCAGGTAAGTGGGGCTGAGGCCAAAAGGAGAAAGAGACCAGGCTACGGGTCAGCACGGCAGAACAGCGGGTCTGCGGAAAACTCCGGGAGTGAAGGGTGGATGTGACCCGGCTGGGGCTTCTGGGTCAGCAGGCGCAGTCTCGGAAGCCGGCCACAGCTGTGGTGCAGGTGTGAGGTCTCTGCTACGGGACGGTAGATTGCTCTTTTTTTAAAATGAAGAAGTAGCTCAATGTATTATCTCCACTTTGGGCTCCCGAGTTTCAGACATCTGAGCCAAATCAATTGCTGAGGCCTGAAGGCTTTGCTGTCCCCCACTTTTTGGACTGAAAAATTGGGGACCTGGAAGAGAACAGGTAATATCTAAGAGTCCTTACAAAGAGAACATTTCATGATTCATTAACCCCTGGCATTTTAGAAGGTCGGTGGGCATTAAGGGGCAGCCTTGAGGGGCTGGTCACCGGGGTTTAGGCACACGGGGTTGGTGAGATCCTGCCTTAACCGCCACCCGGCTCCGGAGCTTCTGCAGCTGTACAGACTTGCAGTACAGATCTGCAACACCGCAACACCGCCGTCCAGTGGCAACTCACGCAGACCTACCGTCCACCCACCGTCCCCACCCACCCACCCACAGTCTCCATCCACCCACCCATCCATCCACCCACCCACCCATGCATGCTTCCATCCACCCATCCTCCCATCCACCCACCCATCCACCCATCCTCCCATCTACCGATCCTCTCATCCATCCATCCACCCCATCCATACACCCACCCACCCATCCATCCATCCATCCATCCATCCATCCATCTGTCCATCCGTCCATCCATCCATCCACCCTCTGATATTTTCAATGTGTCTACCATGTGCCTGGACTATTCAACAGCAAACAGTGAAGGGTTGATAACAGTCTCAGCCCTAGTGAGCCTTACCTTCTAACGGGGGCAGACAAGCCCCAAACCGCACAGCAATGGTACAGCCCTCTGCAATTGATTTAGCTCAGATGTCTCAAATTTGGAAGCCCAAAATAAAGATAATACACTGAGCGACTTGTTCATTTTTTTTAAGAAGTGAAAATTATGTTTTAATGGAGAGAAGATTATATTGTGCGTTGGGTAAAGCACCCTCTGAATGAGCCAGCTTGAAAGTTCCTTTTGCGGCCCCTGCTCAGCGGGGAGCCTGCCTCTCCCTCTCCCTCTGCCTGCTGCTCCCCCTACTTGTGTGCTCTCTCTTTGTCAAATAAATACATAAAATCTTTTAAAAAAAAGTTCCTTTTGCACCATACATTTTAGCTACTTTATGCTACCTCAAGAACTCTGCCTTTCTTCCATTCTTAAACTTTCTAAGACCTTATGGTAATTTTTGACACATTTAAATGTTTTTCCTTATCTTACTGAACACCATGGGGAAAAAGTAATAAGCTACAAATCAAACACTTTATTATTAATAAATATAGAAGTGTTTAAGTCTTTTATTCTCGTAATAAAGAGTTTGACACCATTACTGATGTGAGACAGGTGACAAGTCTCAAGGCCACCACTTCCCTGTGCTGCCCCATGTTTGGGCAAGCCGATGAGAAACGCTGGGTGTTTCCTCCTTTGGCACCAAAGGGAAGCTCGCGTCACACAAGCCTGGCTGACATGGACTCCCCAGCCCTGACCACAAGGAAGGCAGTCAGTCTCCTCTCCCTCAATCTGCTCGGGAGTCACTCCCTCACCCCCAGAAAGCTTCATTGTGTGAATAATAAGCCTTCTCGTACCCTCCTCATGTGGGCATGACATCATCTGTCTTACCCCCAAACCAAGCCTGGGGGAGGGGGAGGGTCTGTCCCACTTCTACGTAGTGGCCACAACAATCTAGTTTTTGCATCGAATATGAAAACGTCTTATACGGGATTATAATTACTTATCTGAGTATAATCTATCGATCATATTTTATGATCTATATATATGCACTCATGAAAGTTCAAGTAGTAAAGACACAACAGTTAAAAAGGTTGGAAGACACTCCTGACACGATGACGTACACTTTTATCCTCAGCGTGTAGAGAACGTTTATATGATGGAGACATTCGACTAGAAGGGACATGTCGTCAAATGGAGCAGGTAGCCACAATGGCATGTAAACTGACAGATGCCCCACACAGCAAAACATCCTTGGGGGACCCGGCCAGTGGAGAAAAACCCCACGGATGCTTCCTGTCCTCCCTTTCCCCAGTGTCACAGGTCTAGAAGGAAAGAGGCTACTTCTGTTTGACTAAGAACACCCCCCGCCCCCAGACGGCATCATGGTAAGTGGCTTGGCGAGGCTGAAACGCAGTGAGAAGCAGTTTTAAATGCACGTGCTGCTGAGGACAAGCCCTGTCAGGGGCGGTGACAAGGGCCTGCACCTCCGGGAAGGGCTCGGTCACTAACCCCACTCCTGAAACCAACAGCAGAGTGTGTGTGAACTAACTGGAATTTAAATAAAAACTAGAAAGGAGAGAGAGAAATACCTGCATGACTTTTCTTCTTAATTTCACGGCTCCAGGGGCACCTGGGTGGCTCAGTGGGTTGAGCCTCTGCCTTCAGCTCAAGTTGTGACCTCAGGGTCCTACAATCGAGCCCCACGTTGGGCTCTCTGCTTAGTGGGGAGCCTGCTTCTCCCTCTCCCACTCCCCCTGCTTGTGATCTCTCTCTCTGTCAAATAAATAAATAACATTTTTTTTTTAATAAATAAAATCTTTAAAAAAAAAAATTTCACAGCTCCAGATACAGAAAATGTCGAATCTTCGGTATGGATTTTCACTACAAAATCTGGTCACGTTGGCTTCCATTCTGCTTTGTGTTCCCGCAGTCTGGGGCCACAGATTTTTCGGGGCAAAGAACAGATGGTGAGGGGAACGTGCAGGTCAGAGTCCATGCCAGCTTTCCGTGGGAGCCTGGGCTGGTCGTGGGCCCCCCCAGGGCTCAGAGCCCCACATCGTTGTACCTGGAGGGCACCCGGCACACTGAGAGCGCTCACGGCCCCACACCGCCCTCTGTACGTGGGTGTCATCTCCTCAGACCCCAGCACCGATGAGGTTCCTGAGGCTTAGAAAGTGAGCTGCATTTGCGTGGACAAACCACGGCAAGGCGCGCATGACAGTGGACAGGACCAAAGGTGCGAACAAGGCTCAGCTTCAGTGACCCCCTTGCTGCGTCAGGGGTTCCAAATTCCATGTTCTCTAAGGGAGGACTGGACAGCCGGGGGCGCTGCTCCTCTGACCCTCCAGCCTGGCTTTGGGGCCATCCCACAGCGGGGCCGGTTTGGGGCGGCACCCAGCCCGGCGTCTGACCCCAAGGCCCCTGCCCATCATGGACACCTGCGCTGATTTTCCAACACTCCCTCCCAAGGCACAGATAGGTGCGCAAGTTCTCAAGTCCAAGACTAGTGCTCCCTGGTTTAACCCTGAGGCTCCACCTGTTCTGGAACTAAATGCCACTGACTGTGTGACATTACGTAAAAACAAGCACAAAGAAGGCAGAAAAAGCACTCCCTTTCCATACCTGAACTTCCAGAAAGAGCCCTACAGTGTGTACAGAGCCTCACACTTGCCTCTGGGCACAACGATCCGTGTTCCGGCAGCACAGGCTGTGCCGCCCCACAAGCCCGAGATCCTTCCTGTCACAGGGACCCAACGCGGCGCGCCGAACCTTGGAATGTGAGCCACTGTGGACACGGGGCTCCCGCAGGGGGAAGGAAGGCAAGGACTGCAGCGGGCCCTCAATGCAGGGACGCAGAGACAAGGCAGACAGCTGCGATGGGCCTGCCAGCCTGGGACGGCGAGCCCCGTGGCCCCCGGGCAGAGCGCGCCTCAGAAGGAGAAGGGGCTGGAACAGCAGGGGCAGGAAGGTCACAGAGCCCACGTGTCCAGTGCACCTGCCTCCTGCACAGCAGCTCACAGGGCTGTGCTGGGAGAGGAGCCCTTGCCAGACTGGGGGGAAGGAGATGCCTCATCTCCCAGGACACAGGGCTACCAGGCCTCGCTGAGTGCCCCGTAGCTCACCCCCGGCCTCTGCTATCTCTCTGCCTCATCAGACACGTCTAACGGCGTCCTTGGGCCTTCATTTCCCCACAAAGACTCCCGTGTCCCGCACGACTTACACTCCGCACCTTTAGCACACATCCCGTCTGTCACACATCCAGCCGGGGCCCCCGAGGCTGGAGGGAATGTTCCCCTCCCCTGAGCAGCGCCCCTCAGATGCTGGAAGAGAGCGTGGGGTGTCTCGCTCGCGGCCCCCAGCACAGGGACCCACGCCGTGCTCACGCTGCCCTCCTGGGCCACAGACAGCGTGGTCCCCTGGCAGTGAGCCATTCTGCCCCGGGCACTTTGTCACCACGTTCCTCAGAGATCGGTGGACTTGTCCAGATCACCTCCGTTATCAGCTCAGAGTCACACAGCCCCTGTGTCAGACACAGCTAGTGACCTGCCTGAAACGCGTGCTCCTGGGAAGTTTTCATTGGGTGGGCCCATCGCAGACACGACGATTCCGAGCTGGGGAGAGAGAGAGGCCAGGGAAAGAGAAGACTTCAGGGGAGACTGCCCTGTCCTCCCGCCGGCAACAGAGAGGTCTGGCCTGGGACCCCCGCGGCCAGCAGAGGCTGGGGCAGGAACCGTGCTCTCGGGACGCCGGTGCAGCGGGGTCAGAGGGGCTCAGGTCCCTGGCGGCTGGGGCCTTGCCCTGTCACCCTGGGCCTCTGGATCGTACAACGATGATAAAATACACCCAAGCTTCGTGTCTGTCGCTGGGCTCCAGCTGACGCCAGCGCGAACTACAGCCCCTGCTCAGTGCCAGCCTTGGGGTCTGCCCCTGAACACCCAGAATGCCCATTCTCACCCGCTTTCCCGCCAGAGCACAGAGGCGACCAGCACAACATCCCTACTAGATGCAGTGCGGACAGGCCTCGCGCGCGTCTGGGCTGTCACACGGCAGCCCACAAGCCCCCAGAAGGCTGGTGTCCTGATGAGGCCGACAGCGTGGGGCGTGTTAGCCTACAGCAGTGCGGACAGAAGCAGCTCCGACGTGGGTGGACAGTGCCGGGAAGACAGAAGACAGGCTCGAGTTCCTGTCTGGGTAGCCGGGAAGGCCCCAGAGGGAAGGTGACATCTGGGCCAATGTCCAGAGGAAGCAAAACCACTGGACGGGAGCCTTCCCAGCAGGAGATATGGCAAGTGAGGGACCATAACCCACCCCCAGCTCCCGATCCGGAAAGTGAGGTGACTGGACAAGACCATCTCCACATGCCTTCGAAGGGGTATGGGGACAGCCGGAGCACATCCAGCCCGAGGACGGGCTGCAACCTTGCTGGAAAACACCTCCCACCTGACAAAGGTCCAGCTCCTGCGGGAGTTTCTCTTAGTCCAGTGGCGGGTCACAGGCGAAAAGGGAGTGGAGACTGTGCTGAAGTCAAATGCACTTTGGAAACTGGCTACTCACTGCAGGACTCCTCAGGTCCTTTAAAACACCAGCGCAGACAATGACGGCAGAGCGTGAGCTGTGGCCTGCGGACTCTGCCTGACTCACCTCATCCGGAAAGGACACAGAGCAGCTGAGGAGACGGTTCCAAGGAACACACTTTGGGAACAAATACCGTACACTAGAGGCTGGTACACATTTTCTGTAAAGGACCAAACAGTACATATTTTAGGCTCCGAGGACCAAATGTTCTGCTGCAACTCTTTGATTTGCCATTCTAGCTTGTCAGCAGCCCGAAACATGTACTTATAAACAAACGAGCAAAGCTAAGTCACTAAATTTCAATTTAATACACGTGTTACATATCATAAAATGTTAGCTATTTTTATTTTTTTCAACCATTTGAGGTGTGAACCATTTTTTTTTTAAGATTTTATTTATTTATTTGACAGACAGAGATCACAAGTAGGCAGAGAGGCAGGCAGAGAGAGAGAGGGGGAAGCAGGCTCCCTGCGGAGCAGAGAGCCCGATGCAGGGCTCGATCCCAGGACCCTGGGATAATGACCCGAGCCGAAAGCAGAGGCTTTAACCCACTGAGCCACCCAGGCGCCCGAAGTGTGAACCATTTTTAACTCACTGGCCATACAGGGACAGAGGGAGGACTGGATCTGACCTGCAAGCTGTACCCCACCAACCCCGGCTTTAAACAAATGTGCATCTATCCTTTTTCCCCTTTTTTTTGTAATCAGTACATATCTTTTTAACGCACTGCTTAGTCACACGGCTGGCATCCTGATCACCAGAAAAGGTGGTTGTAAATCACATTTCCAAAATGTATTTGAGGCCAAAAATGGTTCAGAAGAAAAATCACATTTTTAGACACAGCTCCTTTATAATTACCTCTTGCTAGAAAAATGAAGTCTAATTCTGCCTTGACAACAGAGTTATTAGGAAAAGTGGCCTATATTTTTCTAATATTGGTTTTTATTTTCCTCTCTAAAATTTTTGAAAATCGAATTATCATTCTTTCTCCAGAAGATACTCTAAACGCATTGTCTTATGTGGAAAGGAAGCATTTGCAGGCGGCCTGGCCTCAGCCAAAATTGCACTTACCGTCGTCTGGAACACGGTCACCTGCCTTCTTCCTCCCCACCGGGCATCTACTTACTATTATCACTGCTTCCAAACCGGCCGGTCCCCTCTCCCTCTCCTGCCAAAATCTAAACACCCTCATGCCCCTTCGTCTCCCACTTTTCCTTTAAATCTGTGCTCACAGTAAATCAGAGCCTCACTCTCATGATGGTGTAAATGACTTACAAAAGCAAACAATGTTAGGATCCTGTTGGGTGTGTGTGCATTTTAGCAGAAGGAATGAAGATTTACCTCTGGGGCTCCCACCCCCAGGCAGCCAGCAGGTGGGGGAACCAGGTCTTCCAGGAACCTCAGGTAGGTTCCCAGTCCTGAAATCACATTCCATAGGAAGCCGCATCCCTCAGCCAGGAGAAGAGGCGCACACGGCCCCAGGCAGAGGCTCTGGTCAAGGCTCACTTCCGCCCCGTGAGATGAGCGCAGACGGGGGAGCAGGTGCCTCCTCCCCTCCTTGTGGGAAAGGACAAATAGCTTTCCCTCCACTCTTCTGAGTTCTTGGCTGACACCTCCTATAATAAAAAACAGATTAATGAGAAAAGCACAAAGTTTACCGACAGGTACACTTGGTGCATCAGGGAGACAGATACCCAGGGGAAGCAAGTCCCTGAGGCGGCCTGAGCCACCGGCCAAAACACCATCCCCAGGACAGATGGAGAAGGGTGTGTGGGGCTGCGGGGGACATCGGTCCTCCTCCTTAGACACCTTAGACACTCCTGTGACGGAGTCCCCCTTTGGCTTCCTGGAGTGGATGGAGATTTCCTTTATAAATGTCAATGTCCCTCGCCAGAGACTAACTTCTGCATCTGCTATTTCTCAAAAGGATCAGCTCGAGAAAATGCTGATATCCGAGAAGCAGGTTTTGGGGCAGCTGATCCTGCTTCCTTCTCCCCAACATGCTGAGCCTGAACCGGGACTTCAACTGCCTCCATTATGACCTCAGTGTACACCTCCTAATTAAGTTCTCGCTTCACTGGGGCACAAGTCGGGCGGGGTGGGGCATGCCGGGCGCCCCGTGGCGAGCACACAGACCACCCTGCAAGCAGCGGAGACTGTCCTGACGCCAGCATGACCACCAGCGACCTGACCTTCACTACCCGCCTTCAGGGACCCGCCGACCTCTACCCACACTGTCATCATCTAACCCGGATGTCTTTGCACGATTCGGAGGTGCCAGCCCACCGTCTTTCCGCCTCGGCCTCACCGAGATAGACCCCTTTCCTGTCTCTCTGTCTTCAGACTCTGTCAGCAGCGAGGGCCCTAGTCCGGTCTGTTTGGGGACAAGGTGCTCTTGCACTCCCGATCTCCAGCTGCGAACCCTATCTCAGGAAACACAGCGTCTGATCGGAATGCTGCCAGCAAAGACTCAGAACCTAAGGCCCTCTCCCTGCTGAGGTTTTCAAGCCCCAACACATAAAGGGAAAGGATCGAGGGGCTTGGCTGATAGCTGACCACTAAAGCGGGGTATTGAGTTTTCTATCATTGACTCTTACTTAGTCGGACTTTTGTTAAGGTACATAAAATACACCAATGAGCATTCAACCCAGTGAGAAATGCTCGCTCTGTCCACCCTCACAGGCTTGGGACTGCCACTCTCGCTGAACACACAGTCGTGTAGAGCATAGACAGACTCTCCCGCACCCTCGATCAGAAAGCTCGTGTCAGAGGACGGAGCACCCCGACTGCAGATACAGTGGCGTTCACGCAGCACACACTGCACTCCCCCCCCTCCGCTTCCGCTCACTCGCTTCTCCACCAGGGGATGCCATTTCTCAAAATCCCTGCTCTGATGGTGACGTTTTTGCAGGAACCAGAGAGCAGGCTGAGAAAGAAACAGGACTTTCCTGTTCTCATGTTACATTACACTTTCCAGCCATTTGAAGTCAGTGTAACCCTCCACTAAGTACTTGGCAAACTTTAAATCATACATCTGTGAAGCTGGTTTTTTTTTTTTTTTTCCTTCACGTTACCTTTCACCTACTTTAAAATAAACCACTCATCGTTCAAAGGGGAAAACTCAAATTTGTGTTTTCGGTTTTTTTTTTTTTTTTTTAAGTAATCTATAATAGAGTAAAACATTGCTGGAAGGTTTGCAATGAACTAATTTACTGTGCAATAAATCCCTAGGAAAATGAAGTGAGTGGGGAAATCAGCTTTCAACCTTGAACATGTAGGCCTCTGTTTGTTTTTTTAATTAACAAAATGTAAACTCTTTTTTTAAATTAGAAAGGTACATGAACCTGATTCTCTAAATGTTTACGTTACACAGAAACCTAGAGAATCAAGGGGGAAAAGTCATAGCCCACTTTCTTGTGTTGCTTGATTTAATATTAAAATACTAAAAGCAAGTGTATGGAAACAAGTGTGTTTGCAAATTTTTTTAGATTTGAGTTTTAGTTTTGCTTACATTTTCCCAGATTTTATCACTAAGAGATCATAAAAGCTATTTTTAAAATCATGAACTACAAGGCCTGCAGGGAGGGACACAAATCAGCAGCAGGGTGTGGCTAACAGAAAGCAGCCTCCTCTCCTGCTTCCCTGCCCTTTGGGGCTGGTTTCCCCCTTTCCATCCACCTGCAACCCTCAGGCCTGAAACCTGAGGACACTGTTTGCAACCCTCCAACATCCTCACCCTCCCAGGCTCTGATGCCTTTGCACACACGGGCCTCTCCGCTTGCAGAGCCCTCTCCCCTAGGACCCCTTCCCACCAGGCTAGGCAGGTGCCTTTCAAGCATCACCTCAGATCACACCTTCAGTGGCGTCAAGTCCCCACTCAGGAACCGTGAGTACGACCTGGTCCTTGCACGGACGGCATCCTAGACGCACTTAGGCGAAGTGAGCGTTCTCTGATCAGGCAGCTGTTTCGGTTCAGAGGGGGCTCTGGGGAGCACGGGCTGGGCATCTTCCGTCTTCATGGCCCACGGACTCTCGGCCGTGCAGGGTGGGCCGTGGGGACCGCACGGAGGAGCCAGGGCTTGGTGCTTCGGCTGCTGGGGCTGGACCCTGGGCTGACCAGGGGTTCTCAGGGGCTCCAAGCACCAGCAGGGCCGGTGGAGCCCGGGGCCTGGAGCAGAGCGCCGGACAGAGCGGGTCCCGGCGCGGGCCGCAGTGCACACACAGGAAAGCAGAGCAGGAGACCGTGCCTGCAGGACAGGATGCAGACTTGCTGTGACACGGGGCTGGGGGTCAAGGCGGGCGTGCGGCACCGCGTCCTAGGCTGATACGGGTCGCCGCAGGGAGGTCACGGCCGCGGCTGTGTGCGGAGCAGGTGGCACTGGGCGCCAGTGGGGACCGCGGGCCCGGCTTCGGCGCCACGTGCGCTCAGCAGACTATGGGGGGCAGCCCGTTGACTTGACTTCCACTTACTACACTGTCTCCACGGGGAAAGGGATCTGGGTGCTAAACCGAGTTTCAAACACTTCCTTGGAACACAGTCCACGCGTCGTGTGGGACTGGCTGTCCTCAGGGTCCAGCCCTAGTGGCCATGGGTCGCCGCAGTCTTAGCGCAGGCGCAGTGAACTCCACAGGCAGGATCCGCCTGAGCAGCCTGAGCGCAGGCGCGGCGAACCCCGCAGGTAGGACTCCCGCAGGCAGCTCTGCGCAGGCGCGGCGAACTCCGGAGGCCAGCCCCGCAGGTTGCTCTGCGCAGGCGTAGTGAACTCCGCGGGCAGGACGCCCCCTACCCCCCCCTACGGGCCGTGCTGCGCAGGCGCAGTGAGCACGTATTTGGCCAAGTCACCGCTTTCCGGCATCGAAGAACGTTTGTACTTTTCCACTGCTGTGAAATGATTTCTGCCAGTTTGCTGGTTGGCGGAGGCCGAGACCCGCTTTCACAAGCTTGCTTCGCCTGCCAAGAAGGCGGAGGGGCGCGCTCGCAGGGGCCCGCGGCGGCGTGAAGTCGCGGCGCGGGAAGAGCGGGCTGGGACAGGGACACGGGGGACACGGGGGCCGGCTCGAGGGGACGCTCGCACTCCCCGAGGTTAAGAAGGGCTCCCGGAGCACGGAGGGAGTGGGGGCCCCGCGTCACGACAGAACGGGCACGGCCGGCGGGAGGACTGGAGCGGGGAGGGCCGGGCTCGGGGAAGGCCGGCGGCTGGACCCACTGTCCTGAGTGGCGAGACCAGCGGGCAGCGAGGGACGCCGGACCCCCTGAGAGTGGGGACACGGCAGCTGGGGAGCCGACCGGGGGCCACTGGCTCTAGCTCCTCACAAGAGGCCCGGGTGGAAAACGGCGTAAAGGCTGCGCGCACTGAACAGCCCCGTCCTCTGTCCCCGTCTGCACCTGAGCCAGGTTTCCAGCTTGGACCCCAGTGACGAAAGGACAGGGCCAGTCCCCTGGAGGAAGGGCCCGGGAACACCACAGCACATCTAGGTGGCCGCGGCCCCTGGGCCCAACACACCCGTGGCCACGGGCTCACGGAGCTGCACACCGGGGCCCGGGAAGGGCCAGAGGCATCCGAGTCCCTGGACACAGGGTCCGACGGCGGCCAGAAGCCACAGCATGGACCCCTACAGCCCTAACGTCAGCGTGGGGTCCAGCTCGCAGTGGGCCCGCCGGCTCCACAGGACACCCCAGTGTCCACGGCCCTCGGCCCCAGGGGTATCTCCGACACACTTGCAGAACCTCCCGTCGGGCGCCTGGCCTGTGGGGTGCGGACTGTTGGCGCAGAAGTTGGAGCTCGAGCCTAGAGCTGCCCAGCCTTCGCTCCCAGGCGAGATCCCAAGCGGAGCCCAGGAAAGCAGTGGCTGTCGGTGAGCGCTCCCGGTCAGGTGGAGACGGGCTGCAGGAGAGGAAATCAGGGAAGGGGGCTGAGGCTAAACACGGGGTCTGGAAGGAGGCCCACGGGAAGATGACACGGGAGCTAAGGCCTGCAGAATGCCGGGAAGATGACACGGGAGCTAAGGCCTGCAGAATGCCAGGGCTGGAGCCAAAAGAAAGAAACTGGCCCCAAGGTTTTTGGTTCGGGCATGTCTGGAGGGTCAGCATGGTCATTCACATGCATGCAGGAGAGAGAGCGCCTGACGCCGGTGGCTGTGGGCACTGGTGAAGGAGGCAGGCTGCAGCTGCTTGGGGACGGGACAAGTGTGATGCTGGCCCAGCGTCTGGCCTGCAGGGGTGCAGTCACCGATGAGCAGGGCTGAGGCTCAGACTGGCTTGAGGATCCCTCCTGCAATAACCAAAGCTAGAGGGTCCTCTCCTCAAAGGCTCTCATCCTCTGGGCCTAGCGGGCTGTCTTCAGTTGGTCCTTGTTCTGTGAACAAATTAATAACATGATTTTTTTCCTCCCACTCCAAAAAACAATACACCTTAAAAGTCCATAAAAACGGTATCTGAAAAAGACAAAAACAAAACATCCAAAGCCATCTAAATGTCTAGTAATAAAATTAAAAAACTAATTCATTCGGCCACTAGATCACTCTGACCATAGTGCAGCATGGAAACGTGGTTTTGTAGAACAGTAAAGGAAAGGAAATGATAAAAATTTATAGGAAAGCAAAAAGTATACAAAATAAAAAAACCAAAATCATAACAATGATTGTGGTTTAAGGAGATGAAATTATTAGGTAATTTTTGTTTTATTCTTTCTATTCTCTAAGTGTCCTTAAATGTGTCACTATTACTGATTATTATTAAACATTTTAAGATTTTATTTTTAAGCAATCTCTACACACAACGTGGGGCTCAAACCCACAATCCTGAGATCAAGAGTCACCTGCTCCACCGGCTGAGCCCAAAAGGCACCCCTCCAATTAAATATTTGAAAGTGAGCACCTGGGTGGCTCAGTGGGTTAAGCCTCTGCCTTTGGCTCAGGTCATGATCTCAGGGTCCTGGGATCGAGTCCTGCATCAGGTTCTCTGCTCAGCGGGGAGCCTGCTTCCCCTCTCTGCCTGCCTCTCTGCCTACTTGTGATCTCTCTCTGTCAAATAAATTTAAAAAATCTTTAAATAAATAAATATTTGAAAACTGTACTCACTGTCTTCTCCTTCCCTGTTCTCACTGGGACACAGGCCCCAACTGGTTCCCACACCAGGACTGATGCAGGCTGGGCCTGAGTTCAGGATGTCCCCACTCCCTTCTACTGCCCAGACCTGGAAAGACCTTCTCAGAACTCCTACTGGATAGGTCAGTCACACCTGCTGGATCCTATCTTACCATCTCCCTCCCTACTCCTCCTCCACGTCCTGACCAAGCCTCTGATACCCCCCTGTCCTGGAGCTTCCAGAGCCATGGTGTCCGTCACTGAGAAGGGTGGGGGTGGTCAAACAGACACCTTAACTTTTATTTTTATTTATTTATTTTTAATTTTGTTTTAATGTGGGCTCCACGCCCAGCATGCGGCCCAAACTCACAACCCTGGGGTTAAGAGTCACCTGCTCTACCAGCTAAGCCAGGCAGGTACCTGGACACCTTTGACTTTTAGCTATGATTATGGCAACTACTCAAGGTGCTATTCAGAACTGAGTATATAAAACTTTTAAATATACATATATATTTATATATAAATAAATACATAAAATTGTCATGTCTATAACCAATAGTCACACATATATGTACAGAATTTATACGTATGATTCAAATATATAATTTATAAAATAAATAATACACTATTTTACTTAATATGGGAAAGCTACTACTTAAAAAATGTCAATTAGTAGGCAAAATGGATCTTAGAGATGAGGAACATGAGAAAGGTATTAGGACATGGATCCCTTTGGTGGGGAAGAATTTAGAATATACTGCTGTTCAACAAAGGACGTTAGGTATCTTAAATCCTTTTTGAAATAAGATGGAAAATTAGCAACTACAGGAGATACCGGAATCCAAAGGAGACATCCAAAAATGAACTCTAATAGGGAACCAAAATTTCATAGAAAATAAGTGTTTTTGCATTTTATTTTGAAAAAACATAATGAAATGAAGTATCTTTTCTCTTAGTTTGTGATTCCCCAAAGTCAAGAATTTACTGTATTATTGGTATCACTTTCTGAGAACCTTCATCACCAGGTTTGACCTCTGCAGCTGCATCGCAGAAATGACTGTCTGTATGAAAATATGAAAGGGCTTCATTGTTTTCCCCTGAAGGTCTCCACGGAATCTAGCTTTGTTGTTTTGGCCTCCAGTTTTCATGTATTCTTACCTAGCTCACCCCGTTTGTCAAACACTCTGCCGTCTCCAACATTACCTTCCTTCCTGAAAGTACGGAATCCTGTGAATTTGACCAGATTAACAATGTCATTTAGAAATCAATTTCCAGTGACAATGGGGCCTCTGGGTGGCTCAGTCAGTTAAGGGTCCAGTCCCATTCTTGGTTTCAGCTTAGGTTATGATCTCAGGGTACTGAGATCAAGCCCCCTGTCGAGCTCAGTGGGGAGTCTGCTCCAGAGTATCTCCCTCTCCCTTCCCCCCACACTCCCACGCTCTTGTGCACTCTCTCTCTCTCTCTCAAATAAATAATAAATAAAATCTTTTTGTAAAAAAGGTATCCGTTTCCAATGGCAAGAAGACCCATGGGCCAGCAAGGACATAGATGCGAAGGAGTATTTGAGGAGAAGTCATTGGTTCACAGTTTCAGGCTCTGCCTTTAAATGCCAGGATGTGATACTCACTGCTCAGATGACCCACACCCTCCCAGAGCAGGAAGGAAACTTCCAGCATTTAGTCAAACCCTCATTTTATAATTCAGCCTCAGGGCACAGATTGCACCACAAATGGGGAGCAGCTCAGAGCTACATTCCAGATCTGCATCGTGTCCTCTGTAATCATGGGGGAGGGGTGGACAGGAGGTGATGCGGACAAATCCCCCACCTGGAGGAATCGAACAGCTCATCCCCAAACCTGCTCGGTCACCCTCCCCAGGCCAGGCCAGGGCCGTGCTGACAGACCAGCAGGCTGAGATCACACCACTGTTCACTGGGTCTAAATGAGCATGACAGCATGGCTATTAGCTAATCCTGAAAATTGCTGTTTCAAAAGCAATATTCAAGGGCCAGTCACTGAAATGAAAACAAAACCAACCAACCCACAACTCACATACCATCTAATAGGAAACAAAGGGAGAGGAACCACCCCACCAAATTGTTCGGGGCTTGTCATCTCCCAGGCCAGGCTGTAAGCCCAGGCCTAAACAGTCCACCCCGCCCAACCCCACCTTATTCCTCTTTTTCTCCAGGACATCTTTAGGGAGGGGCTGGTCTTATGCAAGGCAGACAACACTTCATTGCCTCCTGGCTTCTGGTTCCCAGCAGCAAGGCACGTGAAGGAGAGGGACAAAACCCACGGACACAGAGGCAGTTGAGTAACATAGGTATAAAAGTTCTAACTTTTTTTTCCATCTGAGTAATAATATTCACCCTGGAACCAAGCTCGGTTCAGAGAGGGGATTATTTTAAAGCCCAACTCACCCTTGCAGTCTGCAGTCACTGCTGAGAACTCAAGAGTACATGGCCCGACCTGCAAAATTCCAAATAGTCTTTTTACCACTCCAGAAGAATTCTTGATTTGGCCAGTGTTGCTGCTGACAGTGAACGTGGAGGGTAAGCTGCACCCATGTGGTCTCTCCCCAGAGGACTCTTTGTAAAGATAAAAACCTACGGCCCCTGAAAGTGCACCACTTGGGGGTTCTTTCAGCTTCACCTTCCCCGAGGGTCCCAACTCCTCCCCCTCATCCTGCCTCTGATCTAACCACCACGGGCTGGCAGCCACGGCCTTTGCAGCTTCTCCTCCTCCGGGAAGCCCTCTTGGCATCTTGAAACTGGGCAAGGGCCTCTCTCCCCGCTGCCACTCACCTGGCCTGCTCTGCACCAGACATACTTCCTGAGGGCTACTTTACATCACAGCCCCAGTGCCGGGAACCTAGTGGACCCTGGGCAGCGAGGAGTTGAGTCTGGGAAGGAACCAATGGTAATGGTCACCCACCAGAGCTAGGTACATAGGTGGTTCAGATACATCTTTCTTTTAACCCCGAACACTCTAAAATGTAAGGATCATGAACCCCGTTCTGTGGATAACGAAACTGAGTCTCCAGAGTTCACTCCGGCAAGGTCCACGAGGTAGGAATGGAGAGGTCAGCAGCCACGGAGCGATCAGCAGCCACAGCAGTCGCTCCTGCAGGCGGGCGGTGTGCGCGCAGGCCCCGCCCACCAGATGCCCCGCCCAGCCGGCCCCGGCCCCGCCCTTAACCCATGTGGCCCCGCCCATCCCACTCCAGAGTCCCGCCCGCACACACTCCGCCCCACTCCCACCCCGTACTCACCCACCCCAGCCCGAGGTCCTGCGCCGCCCAGATGCCCCACCGACCCAGCCCAGGGTCCCGCCCTCCCTAGGGGGCCCCCCCCCCCCCGCCCCGGGCCCGCCCCCACCCTGATGCCCCGCCCGCCATGCCCCACGGTCCCGCCCTCCCCCAGGGGGCCCCGCCCACCAAGCGCGCGTACCCGGGAGCCCGGCGCCGCCTCGGCTTGCCCGGGGACCACGCGGACACGCAGCTCGCTCGCTCGGCCGCGCGCTGCCCCCGGGACCCTCGGGGCCCTGCGCGCGCGCTCCGGGGCGCTGCTCCGAGCTCACGGCCCCCTGGCACGCGGGGCTCGCGGGCTGCACGCAGCCGTCCCGCGCTCGCCCCCTGCGCCAGCCCGGCCCCGGCCCGGCCGCGGAGGTCGGAAACCCGGGCTCGCACCCCGCAGGCTGACGTCTCCGGGGATCCTTCACGCCGAAGCCCCTCGACTGCGGTTGCGGCAGGTGACGGCCGACGACCGCGTCTCCTCCGGCTCCCGCCGCGGCCCAGCGCGCGCTCGCGGAACACAGGCGCGGACCCTGGCGCGGAAACCCGCGCAGCCGCCAGCCGCGCTCCTCCCCGCTGCCGTGCGCCGAGGCCGGGGTCTGGTGCGTCCCTTCGCGGAGCGACGGTTCCCGCCGCGTCTCCTCCGTGACGCTCCTTCCGCCGCACCCGGTGTTTCAAGTGTGACTGGAGTATTTCGGCGCGCTGCCTTTCCCCGGGCGGAGGCTACATGTGTACGTAACGAGGCTGCCGTTCCTCAAAACGTTTTTTGGCATATTTTAGGCCACGACAAAAGCATCCCGCAAACCCCCAGAATTCTGAAGGCCAGGTGAGCAGGAACGCCCCCTCCGAGTTTCTTAAATTCACAATTAGCGTTCTTTCAAGATGACAGACTAAACTCTCTTTTCTGAACCGAAAAGGAACACGACGGACCTCAACTCACCATTGCAAACACGTGGCGTCTCTGAAACGAACTCCAGATCAGGATGAGATGTGTCGAGTGGACATCTCCTGCCGGGAAGGAGTCCTCCGAAGCCGGCTTTGCTCTGTTGAGATAGAGCAGGCCAGAGCTTATAATTCTATTCCTGGGCCTCCACGGCTTGTTAAAATATTTGGCTAAATGGTTGAACACCTTCCTGAAAACCACATTTTCAGACACCACATTTGGAACTAAAGCTCTAGGCTTCCCCAACGGAGACAGCGCGTCTGAGAGAGCCCCTCGGTGCTGGGTATTGGCCTTGGCAAAGTCTCAGACCCCTGTGGCACCCTCGCCCGGGCTCACACCGGCTTGCAGAGCCCCACATTGCCTGCAGCACCTGTGGCGACGCCCCCCTGCTTCTCTCCGCGAACGTCCCGCTGCCTCCGCCTTCCCCTAGAGACAGCAGGTGACAGCCGGAGGTATTCTCTGCTAAAATCTGATCCGGCCTCGCTGCATTTCCCACGCTGGCTGAAGGCAAACGTAGCTCCTGCTGCCATTTCACATCACTTTCGAGCCCTGAGTCTTGCCTGATCCTTTTCAATGATTTAGCTCTCCTCCAGTTTTTGCACAAAGCTTGATAAAATCTCTAAGAGAAACTTTCTATCATCTACAAATAGGACCATGCTCTAACAACACTTGGACTAGGAATAGAGGTGATAGTCTCAAGGATGACCCTTGAGCAACGTGGGGGCCAGGGGGCGGGCACCAACTCTTGCACAGTCGGAAATCCATGTCTGCCTTTGGACTCCCCCCACATTTAACTATGAATAGCCTACTGCCAGCCAGAGCCTTACCAATAATATAGTGTGTCAATTAACACGCATTTTGTGTGTTCCACGTACTGGATATGGCATCCTTATGGTAAAGTCCGCTGGAGAAAAGAAAATGTGATTAAGAATCATGACAGAAGGGCACCTGGATGGCTCAGTGGGTTGGGGCCTCTGCCTTCGGCTCAGGTCGTGGTCCCAGGGTCCTGGGATCGAGCCCCGCGTCGGGCTCTCCGCTCTGCGGAGAGCCTGCTTCCTCCTCTCTCTGCCTGCCTCCTGCCTACTTGTGATCTCTCTCTGTCAAATAAATAAATAAAATCTTAAAAAAAAAAAAAAAGAATCATGAGAGAAAAATCCGTGTTCAGTCCTGTATTTATCAAAACAACATGCACATGGGGACTCACAGTTCAAACTGTTCAAGGGTCAACCGTGCTGTTAAAAACCTAACCACCGGGGCGCCTGGGTGGCTCAGTGGATTAAGCCGATGCCTTCGGCTCGGGTCATGATCTCAGGGTCCTGGGATCGAGCCCCGCATCGGGCTCTTTGCTCGGCGGGGAGCCTGCTTCTCTCTCTCTCTCTGCCTGACTCTCTGCCTACTTGTGATCTCTCTCTGTCAAATAAATAAATAAAACCTTTAAAAAAAAAAAAAAACCTAACCACCACAGGAGCGGAAGGAAGGCCACTGAGAGAGGAAAGACTGCACAGCGTGCCCTAGGGCATCGAAAGGCTGTGTCCAGAAAGAGAGCAGAGCAGGTGAACAGACCTGCCTTCAGACGGACTTCTGGTGCCCCCGCCCACTGCAGGTGTGACCGACAAGGGGCGTGCAGTCAGGCCTGCGGGAAGTGCGGAGAACACAGACTCCGGACTGGACTCCGAGCCTCATTGTTAGGACACAGGTGTTCCCTGTCCGAGTGTACAGTGACTTGCTCTGGGTCCCAGGAGCTGTGCCACTATGCCTTGCCAACACTGGGCAGAAAGTTCTAGATTAAACAGAGGGGATCTCTACGAATAGCCTAACGGGATCAAAGGAACCGTTGGAGATTATTTCCTTTCTTTCTCCAGATCGGCTTTGCTCTGGCTCCTTCTCTCGTACCATCAGGCTCTGTGTGGTGTCCAGAGGCTCCACGGTAGAAACGCACTGTCACTTAGGGACTTCCCATGTGGTTGGGGCTGCCACATACAGATCCAGCTTCCTGCACAGAGACAGAACAGAGCAAAACAAACTCAGGGAGGCTTCGTGTATTGTACCAACAAATACCAAGAGTAAAAGTTTCTTTAAGGAGTCTGTTCTTATTATTTTATTTTGTAACTCTGCTATTTTTCAAACATTTTAACATGTAAGAAATAATCAAAGTTTTGAATTAATCTGTATAAAATCTAATACTCGAAAATGGGATAGGTCCAGGATACCAGGAAAGCACAAAGATGGAATGGAATATAATTATTAGGTTTTAGGATCTTCGTATTCCCTACTGTTCTACTCAGGGGAAATTGAGAAAGATGAGCACAAGTACACTCTAGACCATAAATAAAATGGAGACTTTAAAATGCCCTTTTAAAAAATTTTTTAAAAGATTGTATTTATTTATTTGAGAGCGAGAATGAGTGGGAGGAAGGGCAGAGGGAGAGGGAGAAGCAGACACTTACTGAGCAGGGAACAGATCTGGGGACCCTGCGACCATGACCTGAGCCGAAGGCAGACGTTTAACGACTGAGCCACCCAGGCGCCTCTGAAATGCCCCCCTTGTTCTTAGTGTTGAGGGCTTTGGTAGAGAAGTCTCTTTGTAAATGCCAGCTGATCTCAGGAGCTGAGCTGGACAACCGCTACTCCTCTGGCTCCTGATTCTGCAGACGGTGGTGCTCACCGCACCAGTGGACCGACCACTGGACACGAGCTTTCCCCAGTTCCTCTGGTCTGGAGGGGAGGCGCAAAACCCACGTCTTCCCCAGGAGATGTCCTCTCCAGGACTCTGGGTTGGAACCTAAGACAGAGATGTAGGGACCATACGACTGTGCTCTGACACAGGGTGGGGGCTCCCGGGACTACCTCCCAGGGGCAGCCATGACCGACCTTCTGTGTCCTTGTCCTCGTCCTCGGTGATGTTGGGGGTGCAAGGCACAGCTGACTCCTTTGGCCGCATGGGTTTGGGCATAATTCCCAGAGCATCTGCAGCCTCTGTCTGAGTCTCTAGTTCCTGCAGAGTCTGTGATCCCCTCCATAAATACATATTTTTCATCTACATTCTGTGTAAAAGAGCTTCATTTGCTTCTGTTGCTTATAACAAGACCCTGAACTCCTCTAGAAAGCAAGGACAGGCACAACCACAGGCAGCCGCTTCTTAGGAAAGAAGGAGACTCTGGGATTCATCGTTTGGACGCTGGCCACCACCGTGAGCTTCCGTCCAGCGTGAATGGACGATGC